TGATCTGTGATGTCATCAGGCCGTACTAGTGTCCCCGGTGCAGATGTATATAGCGATCCCTGTGTAACACGTTGTCACGTGTGTACGTACCTGACTGGGGAGGCTTTCCTTCGTCCCGTCACCATGGCATGGGCCCACCTTCCCCGCATGCATCCCACATGTTTTGTGTCAGGACAATGCGTGTGGCCGGGACATGCCTGGGAAAGGACAGAGGCTTTCTTACAGGAGACCCTCCCGGCCCGATTCATTAGGAGAAGAAAGACTGGAACAATGTGCGTCAAATTGCGGCTTGCAGTCATGGAATATTCCCGGCACAGTTCAGGCGCAGTTCAGCTCTACGCGTTTCGCATCCAGCCGTTGGCTTCATGGCTGTGGTGTTGGCAGGACCCCTCCATTGTACATCTGCTTTCTGATTGCCTCGGTGCCTGCATGCTGCTTTCATCATCCGCCCAATGCCGTTTCCCCGTGACTCCGCCTCTCTCCGGCCTGAGAAGAAGATTGGCGGCCAGTCGCCTCTTTTTCCCTTTTATATTTCTGCTCTTTGCGGTCACCGCGCAGCACCTACAAAGTTTTCACAATGACAATCTTGAAAGGAAAAATGTTGAGAGAGTTTTCCATGTTTACAGAGGGGAGGAGGAGGGGCTTTGTTATTGAGGATTACAGAGGGGAGGAGGAGGGGCTTTGTTATTGAGGATTACAGAGGGGAGGAGGAGGGGCTTTGTTATTGAGGATTACAGAGGGGAGGAGGAGGGGCTTTGTTATTGAGGATTACAGAGGGGAGGAGGAAGGGCTTTGTTATTGAGGATTTCAGAGGGGAGGAGGAGGGGCTTTGTTATTGAGGATTACAGAGGGGAGGAGGGGCTTTGTTATTGAGGATTACAGAGGGGAGGAGGAGGGGCTTTGTTATTGAGGATTACAGAGGGGAGGAGGAGGGGCTTTGTTATTGAGGATTACAGAGGGGAGGAGGAGGGGCTTTGTTATTGAGGATTACAGAGGGGAGGAGGAGGGGCTTTGTTATTGAGGATTACAGAGGGGAGGAGGAGGGGCTTTGTTATTGAGGATTACAGAGGGGAGGAGGAGGGGCTTTGTTATTGAGGATTACAGAGGGGGGGAGGAGGAGGGGCTTTGTTATTGAGAATTACAGAGGGGAGGAGGAGGGGCTTTGTTATTGAGGATTACAGGGGGGAGGAGGGGCTTTGTTATTGAGGATTACAGAGGGGAGGGGGGGGGGCTTTGTTATTGAGGATTACAGAGGGGAGGAGGAGGGGCTTTGTTATTGAGGATTACAGAGGGGAGGAGGAGGGGCTTTGTTATTGAGGATTACAGGGGGGAGGAGGGGCTTTGTTATTGAGGATTACAGAGGGGAGGAGGAGGGGCTTTGTTATTGAGGATTACAGAGGGGAGGAGGAGGGGCTTTGTTATTGAGGATTACAGAGCGGGAACATGAGACATGAAAGGACATCTGGAGGGAGGAAGGCACCGCGGCCGCCGTTATTACAGACGCGTTGTGCGTTTCATGACACGGGACGCAGATGTAACGTGTTTTGTCTTCAGATAAGTCCGCTTGTGTAAACAGATTGTTTAGTTTTTCCGTAGTCTTCCCTCAGAGGTGACGTTATGTCCGTGCCGCTCCAGCTGTCCAGGCATTACCCGGATTTACCTCCAGACCTTCATCTCCCCATCACGCCCCAGCTTTATATTATCTCTTACCTTGTTCCTGTATGTGACTTCCTGTAACACCAACACAAGGCTTGTACAATGCCTGCAGGGGCAACCCAGAACTACATCTCCCAGGAGCTCTTTCTCTCTCTTGCTTTTGAGAGGCAAGCCAGCGGCATTGTGTGCTGGGAAATAAGTTAAAGTATGTACATGGAGAGGGAGAGGGATGGGTGGAATTCTGTAGTCCAGCAGGCAGGGCTGACAATGCTCTGTGGTATTTCAGTTCAGCAAAGGCAACGTGTTGTCGGCCCAAACAGGAAGTTTCGGCGATACCTGGACTTTCTTGCTGATCTCCGGGTATTTTTCTGTACTTGGAGACGGGATAAACTTCAAGAAATGTTCTTTGATTGCAGAGATGTTTTTGGTTTTACTCGGACACTTCATGCTGGCCAGACCCACCCGCACCCAATAGCATGGAGCTTCAAACACTTGGCCAACATCTTTCTTTCTGTCTTGTCACTGAGTAGTAGGAATGGTCACCCAGGCTGCACACAAGTATTCTCCAGCAAGTTGGCTATTACCTTCAGGGGGAGTTTGTGGACACCTAACCATCACACCTATAATAACCCCT